AACTCCTCAAGCTAGAGGACAATACCAGCAACAATGTTACCGAGTCGAATGGTTGCACGAGGGTGATAAAAACACTAATTTCTTCCACAACAAAGCAACGGCTCGATCAATGAGGAATACCATTAGGAAGCTGAAGGATGAGGGTGGAGGCTAGCATGTGGGTACGAATAAGGTATTACAGTGCATGGTTACATACTTCACGTCTCTTTTTCATGCAGGAGACGTCCCTTCGACCACTCTAGTTCTCGATGAGATTGGGCCATCTATCTTGATGGAACATAATGCAAACCTTACCCGACCTTTGGAATGTGAAGAGGTGGCAGTGGTAGTGGCATTAAAATAGATGGAGAAGCGAAAATGTCTCGTTTCTGAAAAGGACCACATCGGTCGCGACTCTTGAGAGCGGCGAGGATGAGGCCGGCCATTAAGTCCGTAAGATGGCGGGCGTGAGGGCAAGGGCAGACGATGTCGACCAACGTCTGTGTTCGGCGAAGGAGGTCGTAGTGCAGCTCCGAGGCAGCACCAAACATCTACAACGTGGACATTATAATCTCCAAGTTCTGGTTGAGCACAAGGATAGCGAGCCAATACTGAACCTTTGTAGTGAGGACAATCCGATCTCCAAGTGTTGGTTGAGCGCAACGACAACAAATTCCGAGCATGTCTAGCACTACTCACGAAGATGTTTGGACAGTTACGAGTCGATCAAGGGAGGCAGGTTAACCCATTGACCAGAGGGGAGGAACAAAGGAGGACCATCGACCTGATTCCACCCCGCGAGAAGCCAAAGGCAACCGCTGATGGGGACGTGATGATGAGGACCAGTGTCAGTGGCTTTATTTCATCACTGCCAATTTTAACACCCGAGAAAACGCACTAAAAGGAGATTCGACGCGGGGAGACGATCTTTGAGAAAGAGAGAGGGATTTGTAGGCTATTGTAGGAGAGTCGGGCAGCTTGGTCATAAACACAGACGATTAGAGTCGACCGCCACCACCGCAACCAACTTCGCCGGCCGGGTTCAGCACCCCAGGGTTGGCAGGAGTAAGGCTAGGAGCGACGGGGTTGTGGTGGGAGCTGGGCCGAGCGGTCCTCCCCTGCGCGTTAGGACGCAAGGCGCCCTGGGCTTTCCTACTAGCTAGGTCGGGCGATTATTGGGGACCATGTGGCTGAGAGCGAGAGGCCAACATGCTTGGACGGTCTGAGGCAAGAGGAGAAATTGTGGCGACACTGTTCAAGAGGAGGATGACAACGATCAAATTCCCCAAGTTTATAGATCATGAGGATACTTCAAGTTGATGTTGCGCGTAGAGAAGTACTTCAAATACCAGGGATCGCTGAGGATCATAAGGTGGCCTTGGCATCCTTTCATCTCTAGGTGATGCCAACCAATGGGTAATGTGGTTGGAAGAGGAGTTTGAGCATGATGACAAGGGAATATGGTGGGACTACTTTCATGTAGAGTTTTGGAAGAGGTATGGAGCCTCGGAGAAGGAAGTAGGCCACGAGGCTTTGGCCAAGATAAGGTGGAGGACTACCAACAGGCTTTCGAGAAATTGTTGAATCGTTTTCGTGGCTAGGGTAAAGAGGCCATTATGGGCATGTACATGGGAGGTCTGAAGCCGGAAATCTCGACATATATTCGAGCCTTTAGCTCGCGGAATACAAGGGAGCATACCGGCTGGCAAAAATCCTGGAGGAGGAGATTCGCGTAGAGCTGGTTGTTAGTGGGAGTGATTCCAAGGGAGCATAATCTGCGGCACCATTTTGAGCTACGGTAGGGAATCTTGCGCCACCGCCAGCAACTGCTCCCACGCCACCACCTCCAGTTGTCCAGGGGCGTGGACCGCCACCCTCAGTTCGTCGAGTCATCCATAATCTAACTCCGAAGGAGGCCGCTAGGCATCGGAGGAATGGACTTTGCTACAATTGCGATGAGCGTTTGACTTATGGGCATCGATGTGCTTAGGGCTGTTCAAACGGTGTGGTAGTATTTGGATAATTTGGATAACTGGTTTGGTTTTGTTAAAAATTTTAGCTTGTTTGGTTTAGGTGGTTTGGTTTCAGACACTCCTAACCAATCAAACCAAATTAACCAGTTAAGTAATTTGTCATATATATTAGATATACATACAAAATACTTTGCATAACCACTCAAAAGTCAAATGTAAGATAATTGTATTCGTTACAAGTATTTACGTTAAGGGTTAACTATAATTATGTGGATTGTTATGTGTTATTCATTATATAATTGCAAATTGATGTACTAACAAGAAATTTTTCTCACTTAATGATATTGTGATGTTATTTTGGTTATTTCGGTTAGGCAAAATTCATTTCCATAGCCATAACTTTGCACTTTGTGACAAATATAGCCAGATTCTGAGAAATACACAGAAATAGTCATTCCGTCCAATAATGTAACAGAAAGCATAACACCTGCTGACCGGACAAACGGTCACAAATGACCGCGTTTAATTTGGTCTACGTGTATGCCACGGTGGAAAATGGAATTAATTATTTTTATTAATTTAAAATTGCCCTACTTTACCAAGTTTTTACCTTTTCGTATTCAATCTCTGCCCCATTAGTTCTTCTCCATTCCTCTTTGCAGAAGATCCAGCAAAAATCCTAAATCCCCACTCTCACCTCGATTCTCTTCGCCGGTGACTGTGAATCGACGATCCCCACTCTCACCTCGATTCTCTTCGCCGGTGACTGTGAATCGACGACGAAGAGGAAGAGTCGATTGTATTGATCTTTCTCGGCGAAGGTCGAAACTATCGATTCCGGCAAAAACCCAGAAGAACGAAGCTCCAACCCTAATTCGTTTTGGTGGGTACTCCTCGCCTCTGCCTCGCCTCTGTTACTCTTTGCCCCTCGCTTCTGTTACTCTCACCTCTGTTTGCTTCACTCTCCTTTCTCCGTCACTTCCCACACAGTTACCCTCACCAGCAGCAACTGCTGGAATCTCCCGTCGGCAAAACGCCAAGGCCTGCTCAGTTACCTCTGCCGCTCTTATCTCCTCCATCCCAACCACCAAATCCATGGCCTCTCCCTTATCTAAACCTTCCAAACCCTAGCCCCTTTTCCCAACTCCTTTTTCGCTCCTCCGCTAACCTCTTCGATAGGAAACGGGTGAGGTCGGTGCTTTGCCTCGCCGCCTGCAAATTGGTCGGGGGACAAATCCATGGCCATGCCCGTCGGGAGAAGGAGGGAGCGGATTGGGTGAGTTAGGTATTTGATTCGTCGCTGTGGATGTTGGTTGGCCACGCTTCTGGTCGCTACGAAGCTAGTGGGTGCAGCCGGAGGATTAGCAGCGGAGAGAAGAAGAGTGGAGAAGGGATATGTCGTCGCAGGCAAAATCGCATCGTCGCAGGCAACAAGGGGATTTGGAAAGACCAATTGCGCTGGGGAAGGGACGAACCCTCAAAGCTTTGGGGCCGAATAGTTTTTTGCTAGCGTGAGAGAAGAAAGAGAGAGAGAGAGAGAGAGAGAGTAAATAAAATTAAAATAATTTCTTTCTTTCTAATGTATTTAATTTTAATTATTAGTAAAATTAATTATTTTTATTAAATGCTACGTTTTATATGATATGGCGCTGACGTGGAGTCCATAATTCGGCCACCTCAGCGACGCGAATATGTAACTAACGGCGTCCCTAACGACGTCACATTTAATAACGGAAATGGCTATAATTGTCAACGCATTTTCAAATTTTTGGCTATTTCTGTGTATTTCTCTGAATCTGGCTATATTTGTCACAAAGTGCAAAGTTATGGCTATGAAAGTGAATTTTGCCTTTCGGTTAACCAATTAGCCAAACTGATTAAACTTTAGTTTGGCTAATTTGGTTGTTGTATTAGTTTGGGCTGTTTGGTTATGATATTGTATTCTATGGTTATAAAAATTTAGCCTTATTTGGTTTGGTAATTACCATAGTAAACATTTGAACACCCCTAGATGTGATAATAATCATGTGTTCGTCGTGATAGTGGACTTCGATGGAGGAGATAGAGCAACCTCTGTATGAGGCTGTTTGGGGGGGGGGGGGGGGGGGCGGAGGAGGGATTAAATTCTATTCATCCTTAAAGAATGTAAAATATTGGTGTAACTTTTTTAAATTTTTGGATAATGTCTATTTATCATCCAAACATTTTTCAGATTTTTTTATTAGTCAAACCTATCGAAATACTAAGAATTAATCAAATTTTAACTTTGGCTTATCAATTTTGTTAGTAAGAGTGACTTGGCAACATGATACTGACTTGGAAGAGACACATGAAGGTCAACATTCCCAAAATTTTAGTATTTTAACTGAAAAATGTTACAAAATTATTAATGATATCGTAAAAATAGCTAATATTTTGATGCATTACGAAAGATTTGACTAATTAATAGCATTTTAATATATTTGAATAATATAAAAGAATATGAAAAGGGTTTAAATAAAAAATAAACATAGTTTTGTATAATTATTGCTTTAACTTTTTAGTTTACCCTTTTCAATCAAATCAAATAAATAGGGGAGGGGATTAAATCCTATTCATCCTTAAAGAATGTAAAATATTGGTGTAACTTTTTTAAAGTTTTGGATAATGTCTATTTATTATCCAAACATTTTTCAGATTTTTTTTTATTAGTCAAACCTATCGAAATAATAAGAATTAATCAAATTTTAACTTTGACTTATCAATTTTGTTAGTAAGAGTGATTTGGCAACATGATACTGACTTGTAAGAGACACATGAATGTCAACATTCCCAAAATTTTAGTATTTTAAGTAAAAAAATGTTACAAAATTATTAATGATATCGTAAAAATAGCTAATATTTTGATGCATTACGAAAGATTTGACTAATTAATAGCATTTTAATATATTTAAATAATATAAAAAAATATGAAAAGAGTTTAAATAAAAAATAAACATAGTTTTGTATAATTATTGCTTTAACTTTTTAGTTTACCCTTTTCAACCAAATCAAATAAATAGTTCCAGACAGCCGCCGCAGCTCTCCAAACTCTCTTGGTTGTTCAATTTCGTGTTCGAACCTCTCTCAACTACCCAGAAGAAGACATTGAAATTCTTTCTTCGAGATGGATACTGTAATCTGCCCAATTGATGTTAAGTGTGGTGATCAAGTTTCAGCTCTTCTCCGTCCTCCTTCTTCTCAGCAAGTTCAGGTACAATCAACCACTTTTCTCCTCTTTCCACCTCATTCTTGTTCAGTCGCTTGGCTTATTGGGTCTTAGTGTTTTGGTTTCGAGAACTCTGTGCTTATGTCCTTATCTCTTGTTCTGCTACAGGATTATTTTGATGAGCTTCTGTCTACAAGACAATGCCATGGTCTGAAGGTTGGGCATAATGGAGTTCACGGGAAAGGTACGTCCTTTTCCCCTACTCTCCAGCTACGAGACTTAGTTTGGATGATTTCTGGTTATTGTTCTCCAACTGTTTTTGCTTAAAGGTCATTGCTTTATACTCGAAAAATGTGAGGAAACAATTCAGAAAAGAACGGAACCGGGGTTACAGCCAAATGGTGATTGAGCGGGGAAGATAGAGAGAATACTTTGTTTGTAAGGCTCTTTGATTCGAGGGAAACCAAACTTAGGGAACTTTAGTTACTGTTATGCGAGTGAGCTCCTCTAGGGAAAACCAGACAAGCTTGTTTTGTTCATAATCCCATGTTCTAGGTTGCCTTTTGGCAAGGGAAAGCTTTCAACTTCGAATTCAACCTGGATCGCATAGTTATTTGCCTGCCTGTAATCTGTTTGATTTGGACTTACCAAATTGAAAATGGTATTAAATTGTAGGTGTGTATGCTGGCATGGACTTTGAAGAAGGGGAAATTGTCTTGAGGGACCAAATGCTAGTGGGTGTTCAGCATCTGTCCAATAAGGTATGGAGAATTGAGATTATGAACTTAGTGTCTACTTGCCTGTGTTCCTCCATTAACATGTTGGCTGTTCTCCAGATTGATTGTCTAGTGTGTGGCTTCTGCTTCCAATTCATTGGTTCCATAGAACTCCAAATAGGGAGAAAACTTTATCTTCAAAGTCTAGGAGTCTCCTCCACAAGCGATGAATGCATGAAGGGGATGATGGCACACAATTCGAAAGCCTGCTATGGTACAAGCTTGTCTTCTAATGCAGATGCTGATCCTTACAAGGCCAATGGCGGGGATTTTGGAGCATGCAGTTCCGGCAGTTCAAGTGATACAGTTGGTTTGCCTAAGGAACTTCTTGAATCATTGATGAATGGAAGATTGACCTTGCCTCACTCGGACAAATTCCCACTGCCTGAAGCCATCTCTTGCCCTGGAGGCTGTGGAGAAGTTTACTACTGTAGGTATATCTCGACTTATAGTTTCTATTGATATATTTACTTGACATTCTTAATAAGTGCATCATCTATTGTTCTTATCTATTGCTTGTTAGCCACACTAGAAAACCATTTGACAAAATGGATAACATGCCTGCAGCATGTTATGTTCAGAGGCAGATTGGGCATCTTCTCATTCTTTGCTTTGTACCGGGAAGCGGTCAGAGTCACTATCTAAGGACGCACTTCTGAGATTCACACAGCATGCCAATGGTATAGGCTCTAATTCCTGCCCCATTGATTCAGTTCCATATTTTAGTCTTATCCTTTCTCCCTTTGATTCTCATTTTTTCCTTGTCTCTTGTTCACCCTCCCTCTATGGGCGTATTGATTTCCTCAGAGACAAATGATATTTTCCTTCTGGCTGCGAAGGTTTGTTTTATTCACTTGTCATATACTGCGAATCATCTACCAGCATCTCTGGCTGAATAGGAAGCACAAACAAATATCTTCTCCGGATAACAAAGTTTATTGTCTCTTGCAGGCAATCGCTTTTACCATTTTAAGGTACAAGAAACTGAAAGCAGCTTGTCCGAAAGAAACACATAATGGATCAGTTGCCTGGGGTTTGCTCTTGGAGGCATGGAAACCAATCCACATGGGATACAAGAAGACGTAATGAATGAATTTAACTCTAGGTTTAGACTTCATCTTCACTCATTAGTAGTGGTTAATCATTTATGTATTTGTAACTTCATTCTCTTGAATTAGGTGGTGGGACTGCATCTCTTTGCCAGATGATGTCTCTGATGAGACTGCATTTCGAATGGAAGTGAAGGAGCTTGCGTTTACGGTAATTATTGGTCCCGAGGATGTTTGCCCTAACTTTACTTCTATTCTTAACCATATCTTAATACCGTGCTCTCATATTGACTTGGTCAGGGATACAAAAATTTTAATGCCATGTCAAAAAAGAATTCCATACATTTCTAACTTGATCAATAACTTTCCCATGGATACCAAAATAATGGTCTAATTTCTAAGCAAATACTTTGTAGACCAGTTATTCTTGTCTTTTCAATGTTCATAATGGTTGGTTTCGACACTGTGCAGTCACTTCAGCTCCTAAAGGAAGCAATTTATGACAAGGAATATGAACCATGTATCCTACTGAGTACTGATCAAGTGTTCTATTTTATGTACTACATTTAAAGCATCTTCTAGCGTGCTAGTATATGTGAATTACTTGACACTTCCCAGTATTTTCCCTTGAAATCTATGGGAATATTATCGGCATGTTTGAGCTGAATAATCTGTAAGTATCTCAACATATGAATCCCTTTTATCCAATTTTGAGCAATACATTGACTACTTGGCCTGCTTGTATTCAGCTGATAATACTTTTTCTCAATGTCCGATAGTGATCTAGTTGTGGCATCCCCTGTAGAGGACTACTTTCTGTACATTGATGATCTTCCAAATCCTGAAAAGGTTAAGAACAAATTCTTTTTTGTTACTTATCATACATTTATCTTAGATTTCGAGGTTTTGAAACTGGAGCCATTAATACTGTGTAAACAGAACCAAGCTGAAAGAATCACACAACCACTTCTGGATGCTCTTGGTGATGAATATTCAGCTTGTTGTCAAGGTATGATTATAGTCACCACGGTTTCGAGAAAATAACCTGACTACTTTCTTACTAGATTATGAATTTTCCAGTCCCTTGTTTCTAATTGCACTACACATGTCACCTTCTACCATATTTTCAGGTACAGGATTCTATCCTATACAAAGCTGTATGAATCACTCTTGTTGCCCAAACTCAAGAGCCTTCAAACGAGATGAGGTATGTCTACTGAAATGGTCATCCCACGTACTCTGCGACAAGCCTTATGTGTTTATCTTGTTTTGTTTCTTGTCGCTTGTCAATCATAGGACAGAGATGGACAAGCAACCATCCTTGCAGCTAGAGCCATAAGCAAGGGAGAGGAGGTACGTATCTGAAATTTTCCACTCTTTTGCTATCGAATGTTAAATCTCTTCGTCTACTGGTACTGTCAGTAATTGTATACTTGGTCTCCTTTATATTGGGTTTCCAGATTACCATTTCATACATAGAGGAAGAGCTTCCATTGGCTGAGAGATGGGCATCTTTGGCAGATTACGGCTTCACTTGCAGATGCTCCAGGTGCCTGGAAGAAGGAGAAGAAGAGGAAGGAGGAGGAGAAACTCCCTGAGAACTGAAACTTGGAAGCAGGGGAAATTGGGAAGGCATTGAATTGGGCTTTCCCTGGGCCAAATTTTGACACAGCAATGTGTTTTAGGGGTCTGTCCTCTTAGGCAGTGTGCTGAAAGAATAAGCCACAACCTTATGTATGCATCTACTAGGATCCGGACCGCGCTTGCTGCGGGTTTTGCTTCTTTTTTTATGTTATTTTTTGTTAACACATAGTTAAGGGTGGCCGTCAGCAAACCAAAGGTAAGACGTACAGCAATTCTGCAACATAACCAGTCCCACTAAAAGGCTTCGACATTGGGATGGCTATATGCAAACAAATTCTTGTGGGATCACAGTAGTGGAGGGGACATATAGAAGCTTTTGCCGTGGTGATCGATGCATAGAAGCTCGCTGGCCATGCTTAAGGGACGCATTGTTGTTGAAACTGGAGACTGCAAATGCTCTGTGATTGTATAGTAGCAGCATGCAGTAGCAGTAGCGTTTCACAAGTTAAAATAAACATAGGCTTAGTTGTGGGATGGCACCTGATAACCTTATGTCCAAGCACATTAAGTACGACCTCAGTGACAGTATGCTCGGCTTTTCTGTGATGATACCGTCTTCACCCTCGTTGATTGCGCCACCTCCTCATCACCTATGTTCACCACCACTGCCAATGGTTGTTGCAGTCGCAATGGTAGCAGCAGCAGCAACAGCAACGCGGTGCCTCACTGTGATAGAACTGGGGTCTGGGGCGCTAATCTGCAGCTTCGTGTATTCATGTAGAGCAATCAGTACGATGAACCTCCTAATCTCCACTCGTTGCATCTACACACCAGTCGATCTTGGTCCGCTTCAGAAGCTGAAATGTTCATCGGTAGCTGGATTATACCGTTTCCATGGGTGGATCTATTTCTTGTCAAACGTTGTTACTTTAGCCAGTGTATAGAAAAAGAGATGGAAAGTGGGGAAACAATGAACTTCGTATTAGGTGTTTAATTCTAATGCTAGCTTTAACAGAGAATTCAATTAATTAGCTTAAAGCTGTTCTCCTGATATGGAATCTAAGTATATCTCCGATGGCACTTACCTAGTAACCAAAGTTTACAGAAAATAAATAAGGGAAAGGTTACGTTACAAAACCAAAAATTACAAAATTCAAACCCAGCGGATCTGATGATCCAAATTAATCTGGAACAAAAAACGAGGCGCGAATTGGTAATTTTACAACCCTGATTTTTTTCATGACCGTCTGACACGAATCCAAAAGAGAAGGTACTTTTCCTAGTCTCTTTTTAATCGGATCCTACGAAATTCTTTTTAACTCGAATTTAAAAACTTTTGCATACAAACAATATAACAATAATGTCAACTGATATGATATTGATAAGAACTTATATGATATAATCTTGATATGAATGAAATGAACTTGATATGAACTTATATGATCTTGATATGATTGACATAGAACTGATATGATCTTGACATGAATGACTAACTTGATATGATATGATCTAAAAAAATTTGCTCAAAAAATTATCAAAGTGGATATTAACTTATAGAGCACAAAAAAACTGATTTTTCTCTGTAAATTTTTTGAATCCAATGTAAAACGGATTGTGTTATAATCCGTTAAATTTTCGTTAGAGATTTGGAAAAAGACCTTAATAACCGCCTCAGAATCAACACGGATCTGCCCCAAATTCGGGCAGCAAAATCCGGTTAGCCTCTCCCTCTTTTTTACTTTCCCTTTTTGTCCCCTTATGATAGGGATCATTGGATATTTTCTACCCAAATTAGGACCATTGGATTGGGTTTTATTAAGCCAATAAATAAAGGCAAAATACAGTTGTATATCCACAACTATTCGGTTTGTGACAAATATATCCACAACTATTGAAATACACGAAATATCCGAAAATCGGAAGGTTGTGTGACTAATCTATCCACATCCGTCTGAAACTATAACGGCGTGTCAGACGGCGTTAAATTGACTAACGGAATGTTGAATCGATGACATCTCACCTGCCACATAAGCCAAAAAGCAACCAAATAGGCTAGTTGAATAAAGGCAAAATACAGCTGTATATCCACAACTATCAGGTTTGTGACAAATATATCCACAACTATTAGGTTTCTGACAAATATATCCACAACTATCCAAATACACGAAATATCCATTTCTGTCCACTCCGTTAACTCCGTCAGTTAATTTGATGACTGGACAGACGGTGAATGCTTAGTTGGCGTGTTTCTGACCACACTGAATGACGTGGACTAAAAGAGAATTTTTTTAAAAAAACCCTAAAACACACAGATGGCGAGACTAAAAATCCAACCCAGAAACACGCCCGATAACCACTGATCCTCCTCCGATCGACGCCTCCACCCCCAAATAACCCTACCACAATCCCCAACCATTGCCTCCCTTTTAATCCGACGGCTTCTATGCAGTCGGCGCCATAGTGACACCAAGCTTGAATCTCAAACAAAAAAAGCTTGAATCTAACCAAATCGCCAACAGAGAAGACTGCAGCAGCGAGGTCTAGCAGATAACGGTGTAAAGTTTGGTTGCCTTTTAGCTTATGTGGCAGGTGAGATGACATCGATTCAACATTCCGTTATTCAATTTAACGTCGTCTAACACGCCGTTATAGTTTCAGACGAAAATGGATAGATTTGTCACACAACCTTCCGATTTTTGGATATTTCGTGTATTTTGATAGTTGTGGCTATATTTGTCACAAACCTGATAGTTGTGGATATACAACTGTATTTTGCCTAAATTTTTTTTCTCTATTTTAATCCACGTCATTTAGTGGGGTCAGAAACACGCCAACTAAGCATCCACCGTCTGTCCAGTCATCAAGTTAACTGACGAAGTTAACGGAGTGGACGGAAATGGATATTTCGTGTATTTCGATAGTTATGGATATATTTGTCACAAACCTAATAATTGTGGATATACAGTTGTATTTTGCCATAAATAAAACATTCAAATTGCATATTTGCTAAAAAAGTCACTTCTGTTCATCCTGGGAAATCCTAAAAAATTTATGCAATTGAAAAGTACCTTGCTTTTAGAATGCTATCCTTCTCATCCACATAAAAATGTCTAGAAAATTAAAATAATTAACCAGCAATAGAAAGGACTACACAAAAGGGTTGGTTTATGGGTTGGGTTGGAGAAACTAAGGTGGTAGGTTGAGTGACGTAGCGGGTCAAGTTTGGTGATGTGACAAGTTAAAATTGGCTGTGTGTCAGCACTTCTGTTAGCCATGTCAGTAATCTAGATCAATGCAATTAACTTGTAATTGCTTATGTGAGCCAAAATTATTTTTTTATAAAAAAAGTATATATATTAATTATTTTATTCATAAAAAAAATAAATAAAGGATAGAGAAATCGCAAATTGAATTGCATTTTATGGTAGCTTGCATAAATGCAATTAAGATATTCATTCATGAAAATCGCTTTGCAATTTAATATGATAGCTTGATGTCGATGCTCTAATGGAGACTGACAGAGACTAAGGAAGAGTGACTAAACGTGGACCGTTTTACTAATTCGAGTAACTAAACATGACACTTTCAGTAAACTCGGTAACCAAACTTGCAATTTATCCCTCTTTAGGAGTCAGATTGGAGGCTTTCGTCGGGGATTGCTATTTGTTGCTCTAACTTTCATTAAAATGACTTAAATACCCTTAATTTAGTCTCGGCGATAAAAAAAACAGCAACAACAGGTCGGCGAGCGGCTTGGGGAACGACAACGGCGGACCAAGCTGCAAGATCCTTCTTCCTTCTTCTACGCAGACCAGTGCTCAGACGTTCTACATCATGCTTCTTTTTCCTCCTTTCTCAACAACTACAAGGGGTCGTCGGATTTGGGAATCGTAGTGGGTCGGCGTGTTAGAGGAATGGTCACGACACAGAATCTGGCTGGTGGGATTCTTTCTCTTTCTCAACAATGACAGCAGGTTGGCGGGTTAGGGGAACGGGAGCAGCGACGGATTGGGGGAACGGTAGTTGTGGTCCGACGGTTGATGGGCTGGATGACAATTCGAATTAGGGATTACTAATTTAAATTGGGTATAGGAGTATAAACGTCAATTTAGTACGGTTTAGGGAGGAAAATTTTAAATTCCTAAACTGCTATTGATCGCCTTAAAATTGCTAACGGTCGCCCTAATTTTAATACGTAAATTACGTATATACCCCTAATTGAATATCAAATTATGCTCATCTCCAAACAACCCCCAACCCTTCCATCTTCCTTCCCTGAATCCAGAAAATTATATAAACCAAAATCTAACAGATTATCTTATGGAACAAACCATAAATCATATAAAAAAGAATAGAAAAATATTGATATAAACCAATATTTTCAAAAAATGCTCAACCTAAGGCAATTTTCTGTTGGGCCATGGTGCAACCGCAAGTGAGTAACGATTCACATTTTTTTTAGTGAATTTTACCTCGTCGGAGTCGCTACTCATGATTCAGATGTCCTAACGACGATTCTGGTTCTAGATTGATGATGATGGATTCTCTCTCCTTGGATAATGTTTTTTCCCCTTTGCTTAGTCTAAGTAGTGTTTGTTTGCTAAAAGGTTAAAAGTGTAACTTTGAAGTTTTTAGGGCGACCTTTAATAACTCCCTTAAATTTTAGAACGACAAATAGCGAACTTTAATCATACTGAATCCAAGTATCCAACCGGGAGTTCGGTAGGGATTTAACAACCTTGTTATGCACCCAATTTATTGAAACTAGTCATTCGCAGCAGTGCGGCACTACCGCGCAAGGCAGAATTAACCGGCAGAAATTTGGAATTTCCAAACGGCAGCAACAAAATTTTAATGGACGTAAATAATATTGTATATTTTCGTTATTGTTTAGGGTTAATAACATTTTATGCCCATTTATTATTACAATTTAACAAATGTACCCTTCTACTATTATTTTGCACAAACATACTCTCTATTATTACAACGTAATAAATATAGCGTTCCATCTCTACTTTTGTCAGTTGACCATTAAAAGGTTTACACAATTACTATTATACCCATTTATTGTCAATTATCTTACAATTTTCGTCAAAACAGAGAATTAATTAAAAAATTCTATTATTATGCTCGTTATATTCCTTCCTTATAGCAACCTCCGGCCGCCCTGAGTAATCACCACCGCCAAAATGCAGCCTTCTCACGTCCCAGCTACCCCAACCGGAAACTCAAACCGCTGCCGAATGAATTGCATCTCGCTCCCCCTCTACCTATGCCGCCACTCATACGGCAACCTCCACGTGTTGGCAACAAAACCATAAACAAATCCCAACCTTCTCTGCCTCTTCTCAATCGAAACCCTAGAACAGCCGGCGGCAACAAAATAAAAGATAAACAATCCAAAATTTAAGTATTTCAACTGGGAAAAAAGTTACAAAATTATTATTGATAACATAAAAATAACTAATATTTTGATGCATTAGGAAGGATTTGGCTAACTAAAAGCATTTGAACATGTTTGGATAATATAAAAGAATTTTTAAAAGATTTGGATAAAAAATAATATTTTTTTTATTAATCAACAAATTATTTCTTTTCTTTCTACCACTTCTCTCACTGCTCACTTTTTTCTCTCACCTTTCAATTCCTTGCTCTGGTTTTCCTCCTCGTTTCCTCCTCCTCGGCTTCCGTCACCGAATCTTATTACAATTTTCTGAGACTCCTCATTTTCTCGTCCCCTGAATCCGGATCTACGTTCCCAATGCCATCTCTCTCGCTTTCTCTCACTTCCAGCGCCTCCTCCCTCAGGCAAGCAAGTCAATTTCTCTGCATGCTGGCACTCGAGCTAAACTTCCCAACCATTTGTAGGAAAGGAAACTGGCGGATACAAAACCCAACAGCTGATTTGTCGGTCAGAGGATCAAACACGACAAAGACTTGCTTCTATAAGACTATAGCCACTGCGAAAATTATTATTTATTTCTAAAAG